GTGGGGTTTAAATTGTATTTAAATTCCATAAAGAACGTGAAAAATGCCAAAGCAAGGAAAACATTTGATATATGTAAAAATATAATTTGGTTACATAAATATTTACCTCATTACCGTTGGCAGTTAATTGTTTTTTGTTCTTTTTATGTTTTCTTTCTTTTATCTGTATTTTTTTCTCTACTGTTTGGGAGCTGTGAGGGCATATGCCCAGAGAACCCCAATCCGTTACAATACACTTAATTAAAAAGAAAGGCTAAGTTTTATACTTGACTAGATGATATTATTTTCAGGATGAAATGCAGCAATGCATTAAGTTAAATCATTGGGCCTAACATGTATTTATAATGTAGCGCCACGCAGGGCTCTTTAGCCATGGGTACGCAAGGCGGGCTGAAAACAGCACCTGGGGACTACCGGACTATAGTGGGATGGAGGCTGAGATACTGTCTCTTTCCTTCGTGTGTGTGTTAGTGTAGGTGCAGCGCTGTAACCCCCGTCCCTGTGTGTGTACCTTTCCCGATTCGAGTTAATAAATGTGTTGTTCAACCCCATTCCCTGAGTCCCACGCCTGCTCCATTCCATACAGAAACCCGCGGTCGATACAATATTTAAAGTTTGAATACCGTTTTATGTTCTGTTGTGATTGTTGATAGTAAAGCTTAGACCTACTTGTTTTTAAATTTGATTATAGGTCCTGTATTTGTTGAGTGACACATGCCAAGCATAGTAGTTAATTTTTCCATTGAGTTCCAATACACCCAATAACTATAAATAATAACATTTTTTTCTCCTGAAACACTGTGATTCTTAACAATGTCAGTGTGCCAAAAAATATTGCTTTAAATCAAAGACGTCGTGCAGGACGCATACACTGTCCACGCAGTTGATCTTGGTTTTCTTTTACGGCATGTCAGTCGTTTATTTTATTTTCTCTTAAAAACAATAAGGGTCCCATTTTGTGCCTACAGTATCTATACGCTTTCACTTAAATGGTTGTTAAATTATGATGTCAAGTTTACTTCATAATCCTTTTCACAACTTTATTTCATCCTACTGAAGGACCAAAACCGACACCATATAATAAAAGTAGCTCGTACGTACGTACATTGTAAAGTTGCTTGTTAGTCTCTAAGATTAATCATTTTCGGGGAAACTCACCCCAGTTTGGCAACACATGTGCTCACTCCAAAGCCAAACTGCAGTGTGTCGTTTGCTTTGTGGAGAAGGTCATTGGTTATCATCTGCCCTCTACTGGCAGCCAATTGTACTGATGATTTGTACAATTCTACAGAACTACAGAAACTTCACCATGCTTGCGTCAACTCTGAGCTGAAACTGCCCACTGTAACAGAAAGAACTAAATAAAGATATCAGTAATATGTATAATCATGAATATTTTTGAAAAATTAATACATGGCCAAATAAATTCCCAAATGTCTGATTATCTTAAGGAGTTTAATTTATTATCACCATTTCAGTCTGGTTTACAACCAAACTATTCAACCACTATGGCATTAATGAAATGAACCAATGTCTTTTACTCTTCTTCTGATGAAGGTCAATGAAGGAGTATTTCTGTTTTTCACAAAACCTCACTCACTGCATTGGTCAAACTGTTTCAGTGTGCTGAAGACACCAGCACATTAATTTGGTCTTATCCTGTTGAAATAAACAATAGTATTATTATCGAAGCTTCAATTGTTTTATTGCTATTACAGTATGAATCGAGCAGGTGTTTTTAAAAGATCCACTTTCATAGATTACAAGTCTATTCCAATCTATTATAAAACTTCAGCCAATAATGAGATCTATAAGTTAATTGAGACCTTGGGGAAAACCAGAGGACATTGCAGGTTGAACAATCACAGACTACAGCCCTGGAGCACAGCTGTCCTGCCAGGTTCAGAAGATCAGAACCTCACAACACCAGTGTCCAGCCCTGGAGTACAGCTGACTTGCCTGGTTCAGATGACCAAGACCTAATAACAGACTCTTACTGTCATTGGCATCTTTCCTGGTGTTCTTGATGTAGGCAGAGAACTTCGCAAAGACATCATTCCCTGCTGAATTGGACTCTGGGTGCTTTGCTGCCAGCTTTGGGTATCTATAAATAATTAAACAAACAAGATGAAATTCTTCTTCTCAGGAGAATAATTAGTTAAAATGTCTTGACACATTAAAATCTAGAAAGAAAAGAAGAAAGACAGATTGACAGCGAGAGAAGGAAATTAAGCATATTGATATGTGAGAAAAAGACAGAAGAAAAGAGAGTAATACCGTGGAGGCACCAGTTTCTCCTCCAAGAACTCCTCGATTTTGTTAACATCAGTCTTCACCTCTCCATTAAAAGTCACAAATGGAGGGTTGGTCCCAGGAGCCAGGTCCTGTAGGTCAGCTGGCTTCCTATCAGAGACACATAGTGGTCATCTCTTCAACATTTAGGGACTCTGATCAACATACATACTGTATATATAAAGTTACACAGTGTCTAAATTCTCCATCTCCTACAGTTTTTTACAATTATTTATTGAAGTTGGTGGTCCAGTAGGTGGTGCTCTTCCCCCTGGACCAGAAATTAAAACCAAACCAATATGGTGATTGGAGACACTGTGCTGTAGTCTATTCATAATAACAGGAATGTCAATCCCAGGTTCCTGTTTAAAATTCCTCTGTGGATTTTCACAATCTGACCAGCCTATAATAATCACGTGGGAGGAAAAGCTGTATAAAACCACAATGAATTTGGGTTAAAACATACTTTTTTGCAGTGTTCCCCAATGGTTCAACCAATCAAAATGCACTCGTTCAGAATGCAGATTGAGTTCTACTGTACATGTTGTAGATTGGAGCCTTGTTTCATTAGCAGATTGTGACCTCCAATCCTATGTCAGGTAGTTTCAGTTGGCAGGACCTCTTAGCTTTTTGTGTAACAGTGACTCTTAAGACCTACGAGGGTCTGCAATCTTCCCGCGAGATACACATTGTAGAGCACACATGTTTGAACTGAAAACTAGCTCAGATACAAGAACAGAAGAAAGGTTATATACAGAAGGAGGCCATTTGGCCTATTTGGTTTATTTGGACGCTTATGAAATCCAGTTGTTTCTTGAATGAAGCCAGGGTATTGGCTTTAACAACATGGCCACATAGCTTTTTCCATACTCCCACAACTCTTTGTGTAAAGAAGTACCTCCTGTTCTCAGTTTTAAATGCACTTCCATGTAGTTTCCACATGTGATATTTGGTTCATGTTTCATTCATTCTGAAGAAATCTGTTGGGCTGACTTTGTCAATGCCTTTGAAGATTTTGAACGTTTTTATCAGGTCCTGTCATAAAAGTTCCTTCAGCCTGTCAGTGTATGACATTTCCTTAATCCTTGGAATGTATCTGTTTAACTCTTTTCTCTACTGATTCCAGAACAGCAGCATGTGTTCTATAATCAGGTGACCAAAATTGCACACTATATTCTAACTAGTGGATTACACAAATTTAATATAATATTCCTTGATTTGAATTCTACACTTTTAACTACATAACATTTTTTCCTTTCTAATGCTTCCCCATATTGTCTAGATAAATAATGTGTCAATATAATAAGTAGCCTCTTCTTGTTAATTTGCTGCATCTACAATGTTTACTAATTATTTAATAACAGTGCACTAGATTGACAGATACTGATGATTACTTAAATAGTTCTACCAACATGGAAAATTAGTTTAAGTTCTTTCAACACCTAATACCCCATAGGTTTCAATTAGTAAAAGAGGAATCCAGTGGTGAAGATGGGTTATAAAGCTGTAATTCACACTACCTGAGGTATTGTAACTTCAATTGTAACATGATAACACAAGCTCCTGCTCAGTTTGTGGACATTCCATGCCTGAGAACTGCTCTGGCCATCTGATCTCCACTCAAATGGGGCAGTTATTCCCCTTCATCTAGCAATTACAGCCATACTGGTATCTGGGACAGGGAAAGTCCCTTTCTAAATCAACAGAAGAAATTAACAGAACCATTTTGAGATCTCTAGGACAGGGTTTTCCAATCCTGGCCCTGAAGAACCACAGACTTGCTGGTATTCATTACAGTCAACTTACCTAAGTAAAAAAGTATGGATTTTGTTCTACTTTTGAAATGCAATATGAAAATGTATTATATCAAACCTTTGATTGAAAAAAGAAATACTTGTTTCTTTTTTTATTTTATTGTACATATGAAATAAAATTGTTAAAGATTACCTCCAAAATGTTTAAAAGCTGAAAACAGTCAAACAGCTCTTATTAATATCAATATTAAGTAAATTAAGTCTTCAATTCTGTAACTGAGAGCTGAGCTGGAACAGAATTTTCTAACAAAAAGCAAAATGTCAGACTTAAGGACTTAAGTGGTTGAGCCTGCAATGAGGGCTGCAATGTCAATAGGTCATCCAACCAGACAGGCTCTCACCTCTTCAGGTCGACAGTTGTGACATTGAAAATGACACCTTTCAACCAGAGGATCATGAAGAGACGCTGGGAGAAGGGGCAGTTCCCGATGCTCTCCCCATCACTGCCAGCCTAGAAAGAGAAAAAGGGGAGGGAGGGTTAATGCAAACATTCTGATAGACTTGATTAGCCGCTCACTGCACACAGACTCAGCAAGGTGTAAGGAACGGGTGAGTGGAGAGGATGCAGACATTCCTGGCTAACTGAACAGTACAAACAGTAGTTGAAAGATGGATAGGCAGAAACAGAATTCAGAAACAAAAAAATTCTGACACAGACAGAGACCTGGGTGACGCATCAGAGTGACAGGACAAAGAAAATCACCTGTGACCGACAATGCTTTCTGACACAAACACATGAGTTTATTTTCCTCTCACACAGACTCCTAGAACCACTTATTTACTTCTTCACAGAAGACGTATAAAAGAATACTATACAGCACAGAACTCAAGAGCAATTATAGCACAATAACAAGGGCCATCTGAAAAAAAAAACAATGCTGCATGAATATAAAATCTTACCTTTACAAAGAGCTCAATTTCTGGGAATCCAAACTTCTTTCCTGCTAAATCAAACCAGGCCATAGTGGCTGGTTGGCTAGCGGACAGTGGCTGTTTGTGCCCAGCAGCCCAGTGGCTTTGAGAGGGAGGCGGTTTGCATTCTAAAGCCATTGCAGGCTGTCCGGGGACATCTGCAAGGCCAGAGCAGACAGAGGTGGCTGAAGGGAGGGGTTAGGGGTGTGTGGGTGGATGCATGTGAAGCTATTCAGGGCACCACAGCTCCAAAGACAATGACCTACCAGCTCCTTGTGACAGAATTGCGCACCAATAGAGAAGTCATTTGGATGTTGCTCTTTTAAATTGTGTTCTTTTCTTTTGTGAGAAAAGCTGGTCATCCTCCTTCTGACAAGCACTTTAAATTATGTTACCTCCATTAAATGACTGAGAACCTCATTTCACCACTAGGGAAGAGAGTAAAGCTTAGGGTTTCTTTCTAATCAATGAAGTAAAAGTTGACAGTACTATTGACTGTTCTTTTTTTAGAAAAAGGGAAAAAAATAAATATAAAAAACAAAACTTAACTTCTGGAGGACTGGCTTCACAATCATTCAAATTATGCAATGCAAAGCAGCCCATACATAGAAGCCTATACATACTGTAGAAGCTACAGTTCAGTTAGCAACTTGAGCTTGAAGTTTTATTGGAGAATAACACAAGAGAAAGTGTACAACATGGGGCTGAAAAGTCATGTCCTCTTCTCTGTTGTGCTGTTTTGGTGAGGCCGGTTCTAGCTGGTGCTGAGCCTGCCAGTGCAGTCATCCACTGGCTGAAGCACAGTGTTGGAATCTGTGGTTCCTGTGCCCACACACTGGGGTTGGGGGCTTCTGACAATAGACTCCCTGTACCCAGCAGAAAGAGGAATGCCACGGTGAGTACTGTTCTGTAATGTTCTGTAGTGTTCTAGAGACTTGTTTTGTTTAGTAGCATTTTGTAATGATCAGTTCTGCTCATCGCGCTTTAAACTTGATTCTTTCTGTTAAGTGCTGCTTCAAATCAAAATAGAAAGTTTATTTAAACAGGAGTTTAAAACCATTTTTCTGTCCTGTTACCATTACAGTGCTGTTTTCATATGCAGTAGCTTTATTTCACTACCCCTCTCTTCTTTGCTTATTCTTTGCTTCTTTGGTATGCTTCTTTGCTGTGATTTTCGTTTTTCTAAAAGGAGCAATTCCATTGTGCCTTTTAATCAAAGAGTACTGCTTTAATGCAAATGTGTAGTAAGGTCTGGTTTTTCTTCATTCAGTCGCACATGTTACTTAGAAACTCATATGAATAATGAAGGAGTTTTTATCAAAAGGAGATTTTTGCAAGTGGATTTTTATCATTGTTGGGACGGTTGTGTAGTGCTCAATTCCGGACCTGGGGTGTTATCTACGTGGAGTTTGTATGTTCTCCCTGTGTTCATGTGAGTTTCCTCCAGGTGCTCCAGTTTCTTATTACAATGAAAAGACACAGTATATATGTATATCAATTGGCTTCTGAGAAAACTGGCCTTGGTGTGAGTGTTTGCATGTTTGTGTCATTAGATCAACTAGTGTCCCATCCAGGGCTTACCCTTGCTTGCAGGATAGGCTGCGGCTCTCCATGAACCTGAATTGGATGGAGTGGATAGAAAATGGATGGATGCATTTTTAGCATGGTGTAATCATGAAACATGTCAAATGGGGGAAATAAAGTGTTCTCTGTTTCCTATAACTATCCTTATTTTTAGTGCCACGAATATAAAATCCCACAAATGCTCTGGGATGAAGTAGATTTAAAAAAAAGCCCAGAAGTACCTTCAGCCCTTAAACACATCCATCCATTCTCACAAACCTGCTTACTCATGAAGGAGGTGACACTCTGCCCTCTAGTGGAAATATCACAGAATGACAACTCGGTCTTACAGACCAGAAAGGCAGTACCAGTTGAACTTAAAGTAATGTGCATTATTGAAACTTCTCATGATTGGCTTGGATAGAAACAATATTGGAAGGATATTATGAGCATGGAGTGACAGGGAGTTGTGGGGAGCAGAGAGCTGTGCAATCCTAAAGACCGACTCATCTGTGAGGGTGCTGGGAAGGGCTCATTGTACTAATAAGCATTATCTCCAGTCTTGAAACATGGACCCGATACACTAACCTCCATCCCTCTCAATAGCACAGAATGAGCTCAAGCTGGAAGTCTGCAAAATAATCATGTATAAACATATATAGTAAATATACTTTATTTTTTTGAAAATTTATTTACTTTGGATTAAGAAAATAAATGAAACCTTTAGTCACCTGACTTTACAAAGCGCTTTAAGAATGTACTTCAGATAAAGACGGATTCAGTTGATGCAGTAAAAATAGAGCTGATTGATCGATTAATTATCTCATTAGCAAAATGTTTCAGATCACCAGGTACTTCAACTCCTTCTGAAGATAAACAGCTTGTGTTTGTAATGTCTCCAGTAGCTAATGTGAGAATGTGTGCTATATGGTAAACCTGTCTATGCTGTTTGTGTTTTTCTGTCAGTGGCTCAGAGGAAGAACATTATCAGCTACAAGTACAGTCAAAAGCATTGGCACCTCTTGTCTAAATTAAATTAATTGATCTGGGTGTAATTTGTAATACCTATTTGGATATACATGGATGAATTAATGAATATGTTGTTCAAATGAGTGGCAGTGCATATGTTTGTGACTGTATATTCTCCATTCATACCCACCCAGGTCCCTGCTTTAAACAGTCGGTAACAGAGAATGAGCTGGTGATAAATCAGATGTGCTCAATCAGTTTTAGGTATTTATACAGTATCTACAAACATAATATGGGATCCTTTATGTGCAGCAAAAAGTATGTAAAAACCAGCAATATTAACAGAGTTATTACAACCTGGATTAAAACGGAACTGAATGTGGTACAGTACACTGCAATATATGGTATTGACATGCTTGTATGCCTACTGAAAACTGAAGTGTTGAGTTTAAGAGGTGTACTAGTACAGTATTTATTAGTACACTATTAGCAGTATAGTGTAGCTGGTAGGTCTGTGGTCTTGTGACTAGTTGTGGGTTCAGGTCCACACTGTTGTACCTTCAGTAAAGTGCTTTATCCTAGTTGCACCCGTCCACCCAGCTGTATAAGGGGGGACCAGCATTTCTGGGGATGATTCCTAGGAGGGATCAGAAGTCTTGTGCACCTAAGTTCATTTAATGCTACAGAAACAGGACAAATTCTGGCTCAATGAATAGCTATGCCCGGGATCTGAAAACTATATTCCAATGTGCCATCCATCTATTTGCTAACTTCTTCTTCTAATTCAGGGTCACGGAGGAACCAGTGAGTATTTACTCTGGTAAACAACAGGCACAAGGAGGGCACAGGATCCCAGTCCATCACAGGGAAGATATACTCACACCAGAGCCATACACCAGAGTATGTTTTTGGACCACCGGAAAGAACTGGAGCACCCAGAGGAAACCCCCATGGACAAAGGGAAGAACATACAAACTCCATGCAGATAGCACCCCAAATTCACAATGCAGGGCCCTGGCACTGCAAGACAGCAGTTCTATCCACTGTGCCTCCGCCAAGTACCAGTATTCTGTTATTTCACTGCGCTGCAAGTGTGGCAGCACAGAACGCTTATCCCCTCCTACCCCGCTGCCTGCCACCCACCATACAGCATTGTGAGGGTGTTAATCTGATTAGAGGTTTGAAGTAGGAATGCAGAGCTACCTAGAGATTAGCCAACCGCAGCTCCATCCCCCCTCCCCAGGAAATAGAATAGGGAAGTGTGTACCTCCAATCTATGTTGTTTTTTTAATACATTATTCAGAATTCACAAACAAGTACAATACAGTACAAAACCCTACGTTACAGTTATATGTCTATACCTCTGATTAGTCATTGCCATCCAAAAAAACGAGTCTCTATTCCTGGACTATTATGTGGTCGTCTGATTTGTATTGATGTAGCCCAGTTCTTATTTGCTGGATTGAACCTTTATTAGCTTAATTGCTCAAGATTAATGCCACCTTAAGTCACTGAATGAAAACATTCATAAAACCTGAAAGACAGGGTTTTTTCAGGATCAGAACTGGAGAGCTTTGTCCTGTACTCCCAAACAGACTGCTGATTAACTGCACAATATTTTTTTTTAAATCACTATATGTTTCAGTGGTAGACTGATGTCGCGACAGGGTTTAATTGCGGCCACCACCAATTATGAAGCAAGGAGAGCAGCTGCAGAAGTCAAGGGTAACCGCAATCATACTTGACCAAAGTTCTGTGGTACTGTGGTATGGATCTGCAGTTATCATACTAGAGTCCAGGATAAAGTCATTTTGAGGTCCACATAGTCTCCAAAACATCCAATATTATCTCCCATAATCCCTGAGAAGAAACATTCCTATCTCTGTGACCCTGAACATTCACCTTATAACTCTTTAATATTTGCAAATTTGTATCATGCAATGCTGCTTTTAATATCTTATTTTTTATATGTAGCCTTCTCTCCCAGAAGCAACCATCTTAAGGTCT